GTGAGACTCCAACTCAAAAAAAAAAAAAAAAAAAGAGCAGAGTGACTGGAAGAATGAATTCAGATAAATAAAAAGTGTGAAGATCAAAGCCCAACACCCAGTGGGCTTGAAGACATGACTATTAATTATTCCTGTTATTAGGCTGGGCACGGTTGCTCACACCTGCCATCCCAATACTTTGGGAGGCGGAAGCAAGAGGACTGCCTGAGCCCAGGGCTTCGAGACCAGCCCAGGCAACTTGGCAAGACCTTGTCGCTACAGTAAATCAAAAAATTAGCTGGGCATGGTGGTGCATGCCTGTAGTTCCAGCTCCTTGGAAGGCTGAGGCAGAAGGATCACCTGAGCCCAGCAGGTTAAGGGTGCAGTGGTCGTCGAGTGTGCCATTGCATTCAGCCTGGGTGATGGAATAGTAAAACTCTGGCTCAAAAAAAAATATTTAAAAAAAATGTATAGACATATTTTTTATTTTACTTTTCTTTTAAACATTGAAATAATGTCTTGCTATGTGGCCCAGACTGGTCTCCAACTTTTGGGTTCAAGCAATCCTCCTACCTCAGGCTCCTAAAAGGCTGGAATTACAAGCCTGAGCCAGCCACCATGCCTGTCCCAGCTTACAGACAATTTCTAAATGCTTAGCGCCAGCTGTGAACAGGGACTGGGCCACATGGGATCACTCAAAGGCAGCCATTCTCTCCTGGGAGACATCAGCAACGTCTGGGGACATATTTGGTTGTAGCACCTGTGGGGGGTGCCACTGGCCCCAGTGGGTGGAGGCTAGGAACGCTGCTCAATGCCCCATCATGCACAGGATACCCTCCCCAGAGAACAACCAGCCCCAAGTTGGCAGTGCTGTGACTGAGCTCGGCTCTGAGCTGAGACAAGCACATCCTCCTGCAAACAGTCACCCCAGGAAGCACGCTGACAGCTGTGACGTGGACTTGGCTCAAGCCCACTTTGGAACTGGTGTGGGCGCCACCCTCAAGGAGCTGAGATCTGCCAGAGAAACCAGCCTTGCTCTCGTGTGAGGCCCCGAGGTGGCGGCTGGCCAGGCCAGGGTCTGACTCACGGCCCAATGGCAGCTGGGAGCAGGAAGGAGCAGAGGCTGGAGGGCGTCTCACCAGCATCAGGGGAGGACTGACGGCTCCAGGATGCTGGCTGAGCTGGGGCAGACCTCAGGGACCAGATGTCACCAGCTGTCACTCTACGGTTTTGTCTACATCCCCACCTGGAGCCTGGGAATGTGTCTTTCTTTGAACACAGGATCTCTGCAGATGTTGTCAGGATGAGGCCATCCTGGAGTAGGCTGGCCCTAAACTCAGTGAGGAGCCCTCATTACAAGGGGTCCGTGTGAAGACACACACAGGAGGAACACCCAGGACAAGGGAGGCAGAGACTGCTGTGATGCGGCCACAAGCTAAGGGCCACCTGAAGCCACCAGATGTTGAAGGAGGCAGGAAGACCCTCCCTGGAGCCTGAGGACACCTTGACTTCTGACTCTGGCCCCTGGGACCGTGAGACACCCAAGTCCTGCTCTTGAGGCCTGGCCTGTGACACTGAGACCAGCAGCCCCAGGATATGGACCTGCACCTGGATGACCCAAGGGAGGCCATTCCATGGCGGCAAGGGAGGACATGGACCCTGCCTTGAGACCCCGTCCTGCCTCTGGGCTGTGTCACGCCGAGACCTTGGGGCTGGGGCCCACGTGTTCATTGCCTCCCTGGCTCCCTGACTCAGCCACCTTGCGGTCAGACCTCTCGTTCACACACTGAATTCCTAATGTTCTTGCAAGGTGGACGCCAGGCACAGATGCTTTGGCCTGGAGCCCTGGTGTGCCCCTGGCCATCTTCAGGAGGACTGAGGGGCCACCGGCAGCTGCACTGAGGCCGAGTCCCAGAGAGGGAACGAAGCCAGGGTGGCCCTGGGTCCCTCTAAACCAGACGGCATCGGCCCCTACAACTAGACCCTCCCCAGCTCCTCTGGCACCACCCAGGAAGATCTTCATGTGGGCTTTGGCCACCACACACCCCAGGACCCACCAGTGCCTGGCACACAGCAAGCGCATGCCTGGACACGTAACATAATATATGCAGCATAAACTACACTAAAGGAACATGCACACTTGCTGTGGCCAAATTGCTCAGCAGGTTTTAGAAATCTGATGCAAAGAGTAACAATGAGTCTTTCTATTATGTGAAGAGAACACAGAAATAGGCTACACGCAGCGGCCCAGGGACACGTCTACCACCCCAGTGAAAGACTTGATGATGATCCCCGAGGAAGAGGAACTGAAACATGTCCCACAGGCACTGCCTGGCGTGATCTCAGCAGACCACACAGCAGCCCTCAGCAGGCATTAGCAAGAGGCCAGAGGTCGGCGCTAGGGGAGTTGGGGACCCTCATCCCGGCCCCTCCCACCACCAGAGTGTCTAAAGACCCCACAATACTCCCACAATGGGCTGTCGCCCAGCCACAGAAAAGGCGCTTTCAAGGTGGCACGCGGTGGCCCGACTACAGGATGCTCTGGGGAAGGCATGGAGACCCTGAGGGACCGTGGCCGCCCAAAGACAGCAGGATGCAGGGAGGAACGGGTGGTACACGGGGGGGCGCTCAGGGTATTACCGCCAGGGGACACCTGGCCCCACCCACAGAACGGTCAACAGGAGAGTTCACCTGATACAAACCTGAGCTTGAGTAAAAAGTACGTGTCAACGCGGATTCAAATCACCTGTAACACACACCACACTAAGGCGAAACGGAAGTCATGGGAAGACTGGGCGGGGACACACGGAGCCCCTGCTCAACTTAAAATTGCTCTGAAAAATAAAGCCTATCAAAGGAAACCCCGAGCCCAGAAGAGCAAACCTGAGACCACACCCACCCAGCCCTCACTCTGGGGCAACCTCAGTGTGTTCTGACATGCCTGCATGCCCTGCCCTGAGACACCCCAGAGTGAGGGATGCATGGGGTCACTCGCATCCTGCACCCAGAGGGCTCACCACCGTGATATATCAGCAGCTCCCATGGGGCATGGCTGACAGGGACGCCGGACCCGACACAGGTGTGGGGGCCAGGCCACTCCTTTACTCAACCACACCACAGCAAGGCCTCGCCATCCCCACGGCCCCCACAGCCTGCTGCTTCCTGCCACCTGCCAGCCCCTCAGAGACGCTCCACAGTGAGGTGCCCCCTGAGCTAGACACACTGGCTTTTTCTTTCTGGGACCTCGAGGGTAGATGGTCAGCCTCCAGGTGCCACGGGCGTAAATCCTGCCTTTTCATTTTCTGCATTTCTGATGCCCTGACATCTGGAGTCGGCTGACCCCCAGGGCCGGCCAACTCCTAGGACGGCTCAGGACTTGCCTACACATGCAGAACCCCTAGCCAGAGCCTGCCCCAAGCACCTCTTCCCGGGGGTTCTCCTGCTCCAGGGTCACTGGCCTGGCCCTCATCACCCCAGGCCTAGGCACCTGACACCGAGGGGCCGGCCCTGTGCCCTGGAGCCCGGAAAATGACTCAGATGAGCCAATCCAAGGTCTGCTTGCCTTGCCTCCCTCCCTCCCTCCCAGGAAAACCATAATAAAGGCTCTGGCTCAACTTCCCCTCCTCTCTCTGCTTCCTGAATGAGTCGGTGCTTCCCAGTGGCCCTCTCAGGACCTGTAAGTAGCAAACTCTCTGTCCAAGGGATGTCACCTCCTGACTCACTGGCCTTTCCCTACCTGAATAACAATGATCGTTCCCTTGCTTTTTTTAAAAAGAGAGACAGGGTCTTGCTCTGTCCCTGGACTGGAGTGCAGTGACGCAATCACAGCTCACTAGAGCTCAACCTCCTAGCCTCAAGGGATTCTCCCACCTCAGCCTCCTGAGTAGCTGGGACTATAGAATCTCACCATGTTGCCTGGGCTGATCTCAACCTCCTGGCCTCAAGCGATTCTCCTGCCTTGGCCTCCCAACGTGCTGGGATGACAGGTGTGAGCCACCGCGCTCGGCCTCAAACCTACATTTTATTTTATTATTATTTTTCAGTCAGAGTCTCACTCTGTCACCCAGGCACGAGTGCAAGGGCACGCTCATGGCCACTGCAGCCTTGACCTGCTGGGCTCAGGCAATCCTCTGCCTCAGTCTTCCAAGTAGCTGGAACTACAGGCATGTACCACCACACCTGGCTAGTTTTCCTTTTTTCTTGATTTATCATAGAGACGAGGTCTCACCAAGTTGCCTAGGCTGGTCTCGAACCCCTGGACTCAGGTAGTCCTTTTGCCTCCACCTCCCCAAGTGCTGGGATGACAGGTGTGAGCCACCACCCCGGCCTCAAACTTGCATTTTAAAAACGAAAACCCCGCTCCGGGCTGCATAGCTCCCCACTCACCTCCAGCACGGGGCCGGCACCCAGGATGGTCCTCTCGACGCCACTGGCATAGCCCTTCTGGCTGAGAGCAGTGAGGCAGTGGATCAGGAAGTTGGTGCTCTGGGTCTTGCCCGAGCCGCTCTCGCCCGAGATCACGATGCACTGGTTGACCCGCTTGCGCAGCATGGCGTAGTAGGCCACATCGGCCAGCGCGAACACATGCGGCTCCAGCCGGCCCAGCTGCTGGTTCTCGTACATCTTCACGTACTTGGGGTTGTAGATGGGCAAAAACTTGAAGGGGTTGATGGCCACCAGGATGCTGCCCGCGTACGTGTAGATCTTCTGCTGCAGGAAGCGGCGCTTCAGATTCTGCAGGAGGTTGTCCTCCGTCAGCTCAGGGAGGTTGCACAGGTCATCAAAGTCGGCCTGCGACCGGGGCAACAGGCCGCGCTCCACCAGGCGCCGGGCGGCTGTGGCCTGGGCCACCAGCTGCATGTGTACATACTTGATGGCACCGTCAGTGTCACGCTCCTGCAGCAGGAAGTAGTAGCCGTCCTCCTGCGGGTGCTCGTCCTGCGCCCGCCGCGGCCACAGCAGTACACGGTGCACGGGCGAGTCGTTGGCATCCAGCACCCACTCTTCGCCGCCTGACTCCTTTACCTCTGCCAGCACGTAGCACTTGGTGCCATCCAGCTGCAGGCTGGTGATGACGTCTTGGATGACATCGGAGGCAGTGCTGTCCTTGGTGGCGGTCACACGGCACGAGGCCCGGCTCTCGGTGCTGGGCAGCTGGGGGTAGATGTGCAGGTGGAAGGGCGCCTGCGCCCGGCGGCCCGAGCTGCCAGCCTCCACACTCATCCTGCCAGCCACCTGGCCTCTGCATGCCTCCCGGCCCAGCGCGCGTCCTGTAGCTGAGAGGGAGGCCACAGTCAGGTGCAGTCACAGCGGGGACGTCCGCGCCGGAGCCCGTGGCATCGGATGCGGGGCCCAAGTTCCCTGCCCCCACCTGGGACCGACTGAAAAGTCGGAGACGAGCAGCCACGTTGCCCTGTCAGGGTCTGTGTGTCTCCAAAGATGACCTCAGGCCGGGCGCAGTGGCTCACGCCTGTAATCTCAGGCTGAGGAAAGAGGACTGCCTGAGCCCAGGATTTGAGGCCAGCCTGGGCAACACGGCAAGACGTTGTCTTTAAAAAAAAAAAAAAAAGTCGGGCTGGGTGGCTCAGCCTGTAATCCTGTGCTTTGGGAGGCTGAGGTGAGCGGACTGCCTGAACCCGCGGGTTCGAGACCCGCCTGGGCAACTTGGCGAGACCTCATCTCTACAATAAAT